GTTTCCTGACAAATATATATGGATATACCATCTACCCCCATCTATTCCCCCATTCTGCCAGTAAACCAAAGATCTTTAAAATTCATGGCTTCAAGCCATGAGGCTCTGTGTTCATTCTAGCTAGTATTTCTTAGGAGGGGAGAAGTGGTTTGGATGGGCCATGTGGTTGCTCTCAGAATTCATCTGGGAAGTAACAAAGTGAATCATTCCCACTTCAGGTCAGATTTTAATTTGTCTGGACTTCTGCCTGAACTTCTGCCTTGGGAACTAGCTGTAATGGGAGCAGTAATGTGAATAGAGCAACTGGAAAGATGGCTAAGAGAAGTGAATACAACAACTGGAAGGATGGGTGAGAGAATATAGATGACCACTAATTTGATAGCACACAGGAGGATAACCAACAGTCAAAACAACCAGGGCCAGCGTTGGCCAAGGACTCTTAGGCAAGAGTTTTCAACAGTGACCCATCTTACTAACCTTTGTTCTCTAGTGTGGTTTTAAAATGCTGAACAACTGCTCTCTCAAAGGAGTCACCCGGAGTCATTAATCACTTGGAAAAATTTGAATTTGTTTAAAATTATTAGGTATGACAATCCTTAACATCCTAATTTTTTTCATATATAATTTCAGAGAAACACGCCCAGTCGTGCCTGTAAGGGTAAGAAGAGGTGTGCTAGCTAGATAACTCTTTTCATTTGCCACTGGCCATGTCAATAGTTCTCTCTCTGTTTCAGTAACTACTGGAAGCTTTGAGGTTCCATGCACCATTAGGATAGAACAGCAACATTGTGAGTACCGTAGAATTTAGCTGAAAGAGCCTTTGATGCCTCTGAGATCATCTAGGAGAACATGAAGCTTTCAGAATGATGGGTAATCTTTCAGTTTAGATTTCATTAGCCAATGTAGAGTCTGCACAAAATTTCTGGAAAAGTTGCATTTTTATGTGTTCATATAATAAGGGCAGGTTGTATTGGGCTACATGAAGGACTACAAGTCAGAAACACCTGTGACCTCCTCTTGCTTCTGTTTTGTTAAGTGGTCACAGGATAATCCTTTAATTCCTTAATCTTGAATTTCCTTGTTAAAATCCAGGTGCACTGATATTTATCATCAAGTGGGGCACTGCAGGGTTTTGTAGTCTAGTTTGGTTTGTATTAGGATGGGAAGGCTTCAAATAAAAATCGACTCACTGTGAACAGGTTTTGTATATAATAGGGCAGACCCTGTCCTGAAGAGTTTTAGGTGCTGAAGAGTGAGGGAGGCTGGACTATGACAGAGATTTTGTAATCTCTATTTTTCAGATCAGAAGCAGAGGGGTGGAAGATGAAAAGCAAGGATGAGTTCCCATAGGGTAAATTATCAGCACATAAGTTACAGTGTGGTCACTGTTGCTGTGCTGGCTCCTTGTCTTGCACAGTAGCTACTAGGTATTATAGTCTGTTTTCACTGAGGATAGATCTAATTTGTATTTCCTTCCTAGTCCACCTCATGGCAATTCTTCTTTGTTGCCACATACTGAGTGATCTAGCCGAAATCACAGATGAGGTATCCAAAACGGTAGCTGTTAGTAAAACCTACACTTGCTCTTTGGATGCAGGCAATGTTTTCTAAGGATCTGGGTGATGAAAGGTAATAAAAGCAGATTTAGTAGAATGAAAACCATCCTTGGATCACCAGTGATGGGTGACAGCATCTGAGGCTTTCCTGGCACTAATGCTGAGACCATTAAATATCACAATTTGTTAACATCTTGAATGGAGGGCAGTGGGGCTTCTAGGTGCTAGTATGCTCCACTTTAGTAACTCTTCTGCTCTCTGGCTGATTAGACTTTACTCTGAGGCTCAGACAACAAGTCATTGCGGTATTTCTTTGCATTTCTTTCTTTTTTTTCTGTGAAGACAGTGACACAAGTTATGCTGGGTCAGACACACTCTCCCAAGCTTCAGAAAAATGCATCTCAGGGACTTCTTAGACACATATGCCATCCTTGTGTTGAATAGGCCTTATAGTAGTTTTTTATTCTCTGAATTTGTCATATCTGCTTTGAACCTAGAAAATCATTGGCAATGTAGTATCATGTACAATTAGCATCACAGTTTTGCTTTACTATTGTGTATGACCCATCACAAAAGCAGAGGTGGTATGAACCGGCTTTGAAGTCCCAGGGCATGAACACACCTAAAATTTATGTTTGAATGGGACAGAAATAAGCTGTGCAACCAGAATAAGAAAGTAGTGATGTATTATTGATAAGCTGCCAGGTTCCACTTGCAATTCCACTTGCAAATTTCCAGACTAACGAAAATGCCCTTGGAGTATTCCAATATAGTTTCTATGCCCATCCATTATAGGCAATCTCTTGAAGTTGTATGGCTAGCTTTCTCCCCAGTGGAAAGAATTTGGGATTGGTTTGGGCTTTTTCCTTTCCCTGTCAAATGTCTAGTTTTATCAACCACACCTGCTCTCACCGTGTGCTGCACTGTGCAAATAAACTGGGCAAGGCACCCTCTGTCTCCCAGCTCTGATATTCTCACTCTAGAGGATACCTAATTCTTGCACTGACACTATTCTCAGTCTGCAAATATCTGCTGTCACTTAGTGAGCCCATGTAAAGTAGATAATCCATGGCAGACAGGCTGGGATTACACTACCTGTTTCAGCTGTGAAGGCTGCTAGTCAAAAATAATTGATTTGATTATATTGGCTGTGTCTGTCAAAGTTTAATGGTGCGTTGTGGTAAGGGGCAATCTTAGAGAAAGCCAGAGACCTGTAATACAGAACTGGGTGTGTGCTATCTGGCCCAACCAATACTTGTGAATTACATAAAACTTCATTAATGAAGTCAGTGAGGTATTATTCTCTGCAAAATGTAGCAAGTCCAGCTGTTCTGCATAGACAACTTCAGGTTTTCAAGCAGAAACTCCACAGGAAGCCTCCACTGTAAAAAAGTTTTCATTCAAATGGAAATATGTTTCCAATACCACCACAAAGGGCCAAGACTGGGAGTAAAGAAATAAATCTGCTTGGTGTATAGCAAAGGAGAGAGGATCGATGTCTTGCTTCTCTGGAGCAGAGCTCATGCAAGAGCTGCAAAGATGACTCAGGAACAAAACTGGTCCCATAGCCACCCACTGTTTTAGGTGAGAGACATACGTCTTACCCCTGCAAGAAAGATGCCCCACAAAAGAGTGGAGGATCTATAGTCTTCAAAACAGCATTGCTCCCATATGCAGTGAGACTGTGACCCTCATTTTGTTCTCACTTTGCTTCATCTATTAACATTACTGGAAGCAGGGAACATGTATTATGAAAATCTCCTTTTTAAGCCTGCTGCAGGCCAGAAACAGCAGAATTGGCAAGATCCCAAGGTCCCACTCCTAAAACAATAAGCAAAGCATGACAAATAGAAAACTTTTTCATTTAGAAAACATTAATGTCATTGTTATTAAATTTATGGTTAGATAAAATCTCTGTTCAGATACTACCAATTATGTGTGATATGTTATGAAGGGAGGATCCAGATTTTTTAGCCCAATAGCAGAAGTAATAGCTGAACTGCACAACATATTTATGGACCTATGTAGTCTAGACTGGTTATCTTACCCCTTTCCCACTTCCCCCACCATTTTGCCAACTTTCATCTGGCCAATAAACACATGGGAACTGATTTCTGACAGAGTCAATTACCTCTAATTGTGCCCCTCTCGTTATCTTACCAGCTTTGACTCACCATAACCGGTACAGATGTTGGCCAGATAAGAACTCTAGACTCTTTCCATATATACAATATGTATGTATTTATTTATATATCCAAACATGTTAGATGTGCTGCTGTAGCAGACTGCATCAGTTATTTCATGACTGCTAGGGCTGTACAGCCAACTGGCTGTGCAAGCTGCCTTGGGGGCAGATACAGAGATGTAATTCCTGCCCTCTGCTGCCCACTCCAGCCCAGGGATTGGTGAGATACTTTCAGTCATGACCCAGCAGAGTCTGGGTTAATAAGAATCACAGGGGGAACAAGGGAGTAGCATTTCTTTGATGACATAGTACTTCAGCAAGGCCAGTGAACAGTATGCTGGAATAAAAAATAGTTTAGTTATCAATAAATAAAACATAGAAATCTGAATTGGCTGAAAAAATGACACAATTTATCTTTTGATATTTCCATTTCTGATATC